ACGGTTACAAAGTAGAAGCTGCTTTAATTGCCAGAGAATAAAGATAGTGAGTTTCCCAACTGTAAACAAGACGGTCACCAGATATGTTATCCTAACTATTGTCTGGATTATCCTGGATTAGTGCCAAATATTAGTGTTTCCAGATAAGTTATTCAGCTTAAACATCACATGTACATCATGTGTAATACACTTTTCTGTCAAACCGAAATATACGAATTTGTAAGCTTTTTTCGTGCCTTAAAGTAACCCTCGTGCTATTGATAGAAGAAACCAGACAAGTAGTGAATAGGTCTTTATTTCGATCTTAGCGCGGTCACAGTGGAGCGTGGGATTATCTGTTCAGACAAACAAAGGCTCTCAACATTCAATATAAGATAAAAGGGAATATAACGCTTATACAAAACAAGGGAAAATTATCAACTCGCTGTCAACGATAGTCCATGGATGTCTCTTCTTTACTAGCTTGTCATCTTATTTTGTAGCATGTGATTTCTTCTACAACTATCGCCGACGGTTTGCTGCGTGCTTTCAAGAGAAAGTGTGAGAATGTGGAATAAGAATATCTGAGGAAGTGCCACGTTTCTCAGGCCGAATGGCATGCGTACAAACTCGAATAAGCCAAAGGGTGTAGTAATAGCTGTCTTGGGAATATCTTCATCAGCCACTGGGATATTGTGATATGCCCTGACTAAGTCAATTTTAGTGAATATGTTCATACCCTGTAAACCGTTGGTGAAATCTTGGATATGAGGTATTGGGTACCTATCTGGTACGGTTTGACGGTTTAGGGCTCTGTAATCCCCGCACGGTCGCCAGTCAACTTCATTCTTCTTTGGGACCATATGCAAAGGGGATGCCCATTGACTATCAGAGGGACGGATAATACCCAATTGTAGCATACAATCAAACTCGGCCCTAGCGATTTTGAGCTTATCTGGTGCTAGTCTCCTGGGTTTTGCAAAAACCGGTGCACCTTCGGTTTTGATAGTGTGACTCACTTTTAGTTTGTCCTTAGAAGGCTGTGGGTTTGGTTTAGTTAAGTTTGGAAATTTCGCGAGTATATCTTGGAATTCCGCTGTAGTTACTGGGGGAGTTTGAATCAAGTTAAGAGAGCTGATGTGACTTTCTTTGCCTTTTGTGTAATACGAAGTTTCTTTTAGTGTTAATCGCCGTTTCTTGGTGTCAACTAGAAATTCGTATCTCTCTAGAAAGTCCATCCCCAGTATTGCCAGATCTAAGTCGGCTACCGTGAAAACCCAAGGGAATTGCCTCCTGAACCCCAAATCTAGGGTTAAAGTTTTCTGCCCAAATGTCGCAATTTTAGTTTTATTTGCAGCTTGAAGTGTAATTGATGATGTTTCTCGACTAATCTTAGTTTTATTTTGAGGGATGATGCTAAGAGCAGCGCCAGTATCCACCAAGAAATTCAAGCCCGAGTTTCTGTCTCTAACATAAAACAAGCGACTGTTTAAGCGCCCCTCCTCAGTCGTCGCGACCTGGGGAGGGGTTGCTCGTTTCCCGCTGTCTTAGAATTATGCTTAGGCCAGGCGCATGGTTGCATGCATTTGGTTGAGTTGACACCAAACTTCCAGTGGTACCAACAAAACTGCCCAGATTGTCTGGACATTTGTGACCTGTTTTGTGACTTGGATCGTGGTCGTTGTGGTGACCTGCTCCTGTTTCTATGACCCATTTGCATTCTGGTGACAGCCTCAGTGAGACTCTTAACACTCGCAATGAGTCCTTCTATTACGGGGTCTTTTGCTGATTCTACTTTTTGTGTGTGATTTATTGTGCCTGCTCTAGTTGGAGGACCTCTTTCCATTATTCTGTCGGCTATACGCGCTACATGAGATAATGAGGTTTCAGGATCTTGTGCATCCAAACAGTGTTGGACGTAGCATGGGAGAGCCTGTATCCATCCTTGTTTTAGGACTGCTTCACCCACTGTGTTATCACCCACTAAGACTTCGAGGTGACGTAAAAACTGTGACGGCGACCGATCACCTAGTGTTTCACCTTGAAAAAGTCTTTGGATTCTTTGACTATCTGATAATGATAAACGGTTCATTATCTCTCGTCTTAAGATGGTGTATGGTTGTGGTGATGGTGGACTTAAAATCAAGTCACGGACGTCTTTGGCGACTGAAGGAGGAAGGATAGAACACAAGTCTCTGTAGCGAATCCCTTCAGATTTGACATTGTGTCTCGTGAAATAATGCTCTAGTTGAGCAAACCACAACTCAGGATCACTACGATCAAATTCTGGAAGTCGGGATTTCGTAGTCATAACAGTGTCTATCTCCACTGGTGACAAATCCTCCAGATTATGGGTTTCTATTGAGTCTGACATGAGGTATGTGACAAATATAGCAATAAAGTTAGCACAAAAAGTGGTTACTATAACACGAATAACTTAAGATAATACGGAATAAGCTAGTTATATACTCAAATTAGTTTACGGATAATCAGGTCTACTTTTACGATTAAGTAAAAAAATGTTAATAACAGAAATGTGGTTAAATTTGTGTTCAAAAAGGGCTCATCAATTTCGTGCCTTAAAGTAACCCTCGTGCTATTGATAGAAGAAACCAGACAAGTAGTGAACTGGTCTTTATTTCGATCTTAGCGCGGTCACAGTGGAGCGTGGGATTATCTGTTCAGACAAACAAAGGCTCTCAACATTCAATATAAGATAATAGGGAATATAACGCTTATACAAAACAAGGAAGTGAATGGATACTTGAACAATACTGTTTTGGCATATGCTTGGTTGTTTGGGGTCAACTCTTAACCAACCAACCTAAGCTGTTACACTTTCACGTAAATACAAGATTGATAAGAACACTTTAAACTTATATTTTGTTGAAGCTGCCTCAAAATTTTTGTGAAATAAGATTAAAATTGTCTCCCTAAACTATTAGGGCCTGTAGAGAATTGTCACCAACGAAGTTGAACTAATTCAATGCTTCAGAAGACTGATTACTGAGTGTCGAATAGTCTGCCTCACATAGACAGGGTCGCAAATGACTAACGCTGACGGATCATTCAGTGGGATGTCTGGTAGAGTTGCTGTAGAGTAACTATCCAGTAAACCGCCTCAGTGGTAAGATTCTGTCATTTCTTTGAGTGAATTAAAGAAGCATCTTAGGCTGACCACTAGATTAAACTCGGTGACGCGTCTGATGCACTCGCGGCCAATGTTTGAGAATAGGAAACAACCCAACTGACCTTACGTCTGACTGCCGAGACATAACTGAACCAACAAAAGTTAAGGATGACAATCATAAGCTTGTAGCGTGGTGTAGTGTTGGGATTGACTATGAACACCGCTACAAAGGATCGCGTGCCAAATAAATAAGAAGGCGAAGGTTGAACCTAACCAAATAAATCCATAAAATCCACGAGAAGCCAAATATCAGAAGGCAGTTAATGGACCAAGTCGAGATATATTTGCTGGCGATCTCGTGGTATCGAAAGGATACCGAGATCGTGCTAGGATACAAGCTTGGTTACATAACGTAACCGAATTCGCGCGAAGTCACAATCAAAGTGTGTGAATAATGGATGCTTTTTAGCACAGTTAAACAAAAGCACATTAAAACAGTCACTGGTAAAATTGGTTACAATGATAATTGTTTTTATTAAACCAGTCGTGTTCTCGTGATAAAGGTGAGTCACTACAAGCTCTAACCATTTGCTAACGATAGTAGCAACGATGTCTTGATAATAATGACAATAATGACTAGTACACTAAATTCTACTTGAAATTCCTTCCAAAGATTCACATCAAGCACTTGGGAATATGAACAAGCAAAACCAGCGGTGGAATGAAAATTAATATCAAGATACTTAACAAAAGGAAAAAAAGAGAAAAGGTATATGTGTTTCCAATAAAATTTTCATCGTGCTTCTACACCAATATGCAAATTATTTATAATAATATACCGATACTGTCTGATTCATACTGCCATATTATAACGTCACAAAAGACTGGAAATAAATGTGAATGATCAGCTACGTGGTGAAAAGTGTATGTGGTAACTGCAATGGGAATTCGCCATGTTTTCCACTACTTTTTATCATTATTTTCAATGTTTCAGAAGTTTATTGCAAGTGAACTTTTGTCAACAACATCGAAAGAGTATACCTATTGGTAATTCACAAGCAACCTATATGTATGCATATATATACATATTTAGTCTCCGATAATCTCCGCCAAGCTTTCAAAAAAAATTTAATTTCAGAGACATCATTTGTACTAGATGCTATCTAGATTTAAAATAGTGTACTTGTACGTATAAAGTTCATGTCGTACAGCGCAAAGTAGAACATGTCAGTTTAAGAATCTTCCTGTACGTCAACAATTTTGATGGTCGTCGCCAACAGCCAGTTACTTCTGTTTACAAAGCAGTGCTTTAGTTTCATTTAGGTTGAGTCGGATTCAGACCTCATGGTTAACATTCAGTTTTGACGATTTTTTCATGATAACCAGCTGAATCGACCCCTTTAGTGGCTGGCTGGAACAAAAATGATCTTACGCAAGAAATTTATTATAGGAAAAGACCGTAGAAGTTTTCTGTCAAGGCTCTTTGCATTCTGTCATTCAATGATGCACCAATATTATCTCTTGTGTGTCATCCTTGACATTGACTCAACACTCAGTGATGTCTCGTCTAATCTAGTGACATTTCCGCTTGACAGGTGACCTTGTAAGGTCTCAATGACATTTTACAGGCCCTGAAGTCTACGCGACACCAATTGTTGCGTGAGGTACTTCAGATGACAGTTTTGTTACCTGTGCTGTACTTTTTATACGTTCAATCATATTCAGTAAAAAAATGATTGACAACAGTATCTTGTCCATACGTTTTGTTTGAAAACTGATAATTTAATAGTTTTATGAGGTCTTAACTATGATACAAAACTTGTTGTTCTGTATTTTTGGAGATGAACAGAGAATCGGTAAAACGTGTTTAAATCGATCAACAAAAATTGTGAGGTGACTATTGCCTATAAGTGCTTGGTTTGAGCAGCTTTCATGTCACCGTCATACGCATCAGGTACGAGCATTTACATTGTCAAATGTGAGCGTCAGCCTTAATATTGACTGTGTTAGTTCACTAAGAGTTTACAAGATACTTTTTCTTCGAAGTGAAGACACTTTAACAAACATGATTTTGTACATTATCTAAATTTTCAGCATTTAGATCGAATAAGTTTATATTCTATTGTGCGAAGACTTAAAATGAGCTTGCAAACTGCAGTTTCAGTTTTTGTGTAATAATTTTTCATCGCAACGCACAAAATGTGTGTTGATTTGAACCATTTGAATATTATTGAACTTTTCCCTCGTGTTTTACATCATTCTTTGACAAAGCAGCTCACTTAAACATAGGGTTTGAGTAAATTAAAAATGTTGATTCATACTTAGACATGTGGATGGTTGTATTTCTATTTATTCCGGATGAATAATTCATTCAAAGTCAACATATGAATGTCATAGCTCTTATTAATACACAACATGGAAAAATTATCTGAGTAAATCTCAGACATTCGACTAACAAGCATGATTAAACTGCCTGGATGTGTCGTCATAATAAACAAGTGTTTCTCGTAACCTCTATACGTTAAGGATGAAATAAGTCTATGAGGTACTATAATTCAGTAAAATTTGTATTATTCGTGTAATTATCAAGTGATTATTTTGATTATTACTAAAGGTTTCGTCTACTAAAGGCTTAAAAATGTCAAATCGATTATTTGAGTGCCATTTGTCGGCTAATGCTCACAGATTTATGTGAAAACTAGAATCCTTAATCGTATGACTTAGTAAGCTTCAAAATATTGTATAGGTCATATATTTCGTTGTTGAAAACTTAACAGATAATAACAAAACAGATAATCTCAACACTTATTAAAACCATAATTGGTTATCCTCTAATAGGACACCTTAAGTAATTAAACTTGACATGTGTACTTGGTAAGTAGTTTTTTATTCATAAACGTAATCTAGTTCGTGTTCAGATCATTCTGCATTCCATAGAAAACGTTTTCTATGAGGATTAACAATGACTCAAGACTTTTCAAGAGAAGTATTAAAAGCATGTTCCTTATACACTATCCCTACTTCTGATTTCCTTCAAAAGTCAAAATTCAAAACACATGTCAGGAACTTGTCTCAAAGTTAAAAATGTTTGCAATTTGTATACTGATTACTTTCAAAGCCAGTAAGGCCATGCACTATAATAGATACCAAGTAAGTCTTATATTTCATGTACAGCAAATGAACTGTAAAAGCGCTCACCACACATTTATAAGTGTTATTTCATATTTTTGACTTTGTTTAATTTGATTATAACAGTGTTTGATAAATGCAAAAGAAAGAGGCCGATGGCTTCACGGTCATCCTATACAAGAGAAGATGGTTTTCGCTACTGATATTTTGTCTGTGTTCATTTGGGAATGCTTATCAGTGGATTCATTTGAATATAATTTCTGATATTGTTCTGTTTTTTTGGGATGCTTCCATTCCAGGTGAGCCATTGTTTAAACAAATTTATTTCCGTGTTTAACTTCTGTTGGATTTATTTAACTTCTACTCATGATGATCCATGTTATAACAAAAAAACGTATGTAGATAAAATGGTTTACTTTATACAGTATGACAAATGATTAAATTCCAGTAAAATGATTACAATTCAATGTTTTTAATTTCTTAACTTGTGTCTGCAATCCAAAATTTGGTAGACTCTCACTAATTATCTGGTTTTAAAAGTGAACCTGATACAAGTTGGTTTTCTCGTTTGTGTCTATCAATATTTTCCAGTCTTTTGTCGCATGTATAATGTATAAGTTGCTGTTCAAATTGTTTCACAACGAAGAGAAACAGGCTTTTTGTTAAGTTATCAGTCTAACATTTTCTACAACGCTTCTATAGGCAAAATAGGGTTATTAAGGTTAGTGAAGGTTCTTTGCTATGATTGGAAGATATTTTGATGTATTTTACAGTCAACGTGACTGTGGTGTTTTTAATCAAGCCGATCATTAAAATGTTTTGTCTTTTTTAAATATCTCTAGAGTTTAAAGCCATTTTTGCTTTCTGCTTGACTCTTCTTTCATGCTGGTTAGAGTATTTTGATATTTAATAATATGGGAAATTTAAACTATATCCTGGTGTCCCAAACGCTTTTGGTCCGGAAATAAATAATTGTTATTTCGATGTTGTTATCTCAATCCTACTTAATTATTAAATAATTTAAAAGACAGAATCAACAGTTTTGTATCCACTTACAGCGTATCACTATCTGAATGCATTTTTTAAACACTAAGTACTTGCTGAAAGTGAAAAAGTATGAAAATACTCATATGATTATCATGTATACAAAATATCAAAGTCTTTTGTTAGAAATCGTTTGTTCGAGTTATGACTAAGCAAAAACGATTACTAATGTTTTATTACCAATAAACCTATAAGCATGGATACAGAAACTTCTTTTGGCACTTACTGTTATTTCTTGTCAAAAAGTACTAGCATTTTTAAGGCTGGTTGTATAGGTTAAGTAACAGACCCAAATTTAGAATCTTATATTAGTTAAAATGATTCATTTCACAAATTTTGGGATTTTTATATTATCTTACTAGCTATGCTGTTTACCGTCAAAATAGTTTAATCCATTTTTGAGTTCACAACTGAACTGCATAATTAGCAACGATAAATAAATCTTTCATTTAGCCTATCATATTATAAAGACTCCGTTCGGTGACAGTGATAATAGAAATATGAGTTGAGTTGGAAGAGTACTTTTCAGACATTCGTTTACGCAAATAGATGACAAAAAGTACAAAATGGAGGGGGATTTGTCAGTTTATTCAAGTTATTGCTCATTACAAGCGTTGATATAACCCTAAATAGGTAATGCTTAATTCGACAAGACAATGCGCATCGGACAAAATAATAAATGTAGAGACGTATGCGCAATCACACATGTATAAGTGCAGAATTAGGAGGATGTGAATATATGTGATAATTGTGGATAAATTCATGACTTTCTATAAAAAGAATAGTCATTAGGAAGGTAAAAGCGACTCATGAGCCACATACCGTTTTAGTTATTAAAATAAGTTCAAAGGCTAAGATAATGTGTGTACACACTATGGTGTAATGACGTAAATAAAAAAAACACCTATCAGTCCGTTGGTGTAATAAGCTTATTAGAAAAAATCGCTTGTTTACCGTACTTTGTTAACTATTTTTACGTATTTTACCAGTTGCGATGTCTGTTTGATGATGTATTGATCTATATTTGAGATTTCGTCTGCTACTATCATCATAATTCGAGTATTGTATCATTTATGGGTCTTATACTGATTTATGTGGATCTGAGATGTTTAAAATGATAATTAATATTTGTTACAATCAAATTTGTTTGCTAATATACTTATATTTCTGTTGGTAAGTAGATAAAATCCAAATTAGCTAGTTTAGCATATAGACTGTATAATATATTTCACTTCAGAATGATGGTTTATAGAAAAAGCTTATCTAAAATGTTATTTTTCAGTTATAATTAAAGTGATGAATCTTATTATGCTTCAAACGCATTCCATAAAACTGTGTGTAGGACCTATAATTTCTATTCCACAGAAATACCTTTTTATTTGTTGAACAAACCGAGACTAAGTGACATAATGGATGGATCTTTGTCTTGTAAAATGACAAGTACTTAACTCAGTCAGTCAGCCAGACAACTGTTTAGACTTGTTAAGGAAACCGGTATTAGGAACCCGACTGTTAGCGAAACTATCTCGGAAAAAGATGGATATATTATTTACTCTCAATTCAGGAGATTGGATCGATGGCAGAACACTTTAGGGATCAGTTCAACTGGCATTCAGTCGACCTGAATGGTAAGTTAATGTAAGTCTTCCAACTCTTTACGAGGTCGAAAATGCTATAGGAAATCTGAAGCGTGGTTCCGTGGCAGTGTTTGTCACTGAAAGGAGTACCAAAGAAGTACATTAATTTTATAAAGACTCTGTACTCGAAAACAACAGGTCGAGTTAGAGCTTATGGCGAACTGTCATCAGAATTCATTACCTCAAGTGGTACTTAAATAGTATTTTAGTATTTATATTTGTATTGAGATGAATAAATCTACAACTGATGAACATTAAACAAGACTAAGACCGCTCATCCTGAAACATAATTTAAAGAATTACTATAACAGTTACAATAGTAGTAGCTTGTAAATTAACCAATAAACTAGACTAAACTAAAATAAAAAATTAACTTAATTTTCAATTATATTACTGTTAAATTTGATCTTAGAAAATTAAAAGGTGATTCTGTATATGAATATTTGTATGATCATACTTTAAAACATTTATAGTTATTAAATCTATCTAAGCTTTATTTATGTTACAAAATTTAAATGAAATTCATTTCGAGCTATTAAAATTTAACCTATTTCATGACAATTAAGTAGATAGAATAAATATGAATTATTTATTATATAGATCTATTTATTTGTACACATAAATATTGGTACATAGGGATACCGAATATATATGTGCCGCACAAGTTCTTTGATTTATGTGTGGTCTATGATACTGCTAGAGTGCTCAAATCGAAGCAAGTGGTTTCCTAAGGAGGCCACGCTTGGAGCCCGATCCACAAGGTAGTTGAGCAACGTCAGGAGGTGTAGTCCCATGATAGCCGGTGACTAATAATAGGTTCGTACGCCATTTGTTTCTTCAGGATACTGGAGCCTATGCAAACTATTGGTTTAGAATCAGGGTTTTCCAACTCTCCTAGGTAGACCGATAATAATGTATTTTGATTTTAACTGAAGTACATTTTATAACATAAATTCATTTAATTGTATTTATTTGTCTAGCGTTTTTATGTTTCAATCTCAGTTCACAGATAGTTTTTATTATTTCATGAATTCATTTACAGCTTTGTGATGATCTATGTTGTTTTGTTTTACTACCTATTACATTTACTCATCTTTGAAAACTTTATTATTAGCCAAATATCTTACTTTGAGCTGCATTCAAAGTGATCTAGCATTTGATGATAAACAACTTCAACTCATTGCTCGTGTATACTGAGGGCACTGAATGGGCAGTACTGGGATTAAACGTAGGGTATCATATAAAAAATGTCAAATGTATCGATGAGGTAGGGGATATTTATCTAATGCGGTGTCAAGGACAAATGTTAGGTATGCCTAATCACTGCCTCCTTCAACGGGCGATGCTTATCGACGTAGTATTAGGTTGGATAAAAGCTAGGAGTGCTTAGACAATACAAAATACCGGTCTATGAGTACACTGACTGTCAGTCTGAGCGATGTTGATAGATCCAAATTCTGTTTGTCGTAGTAACTGTGACTAGCAGTTGGAGAATCTGGGTGATATAGCTTAGAATTGTTCGAAATAGTGCAGATACATTCATTCTTCGTCCTCGTTTTGGTCTAGAATTTCAGCATTTCTTCATACATGCCTTTCCATGTCATTTTGTTTCTAACCATATTCCTAATATTCAATGTTTATTTTTTCTGATCTTCACTGATATTACATGATAGCGATCTCTTTCACGATTCTTCATGTTATTTTTATCTTACAATGCCAATGTGGTATGGGTAGTTTGACCAGCGCACAGTTATGCTATGCACTATGTTGTTTGAACTTACTAACTGACTGTCACTTCATTAGACCTGATTTTAGACCTCATAGATGTCCATGATTTTTCTAATTAATTGATAAATTAGGTCGATTTCGATATGTTTATTGGTTGCTGATGGACGTGAATGTAAAACTTTTAAAAATTCTGGTATTCATAGTGTTTCTCTATTCAGTGTTTTAACAATGAAAGTCTAATCATTAAACAACCGGAATCAGAGAACAAAACTCCACTAAAACCATACAACGTAAATACAAATCTTACCACCTTAAAAGCACATTATATATCGACTAAATACAAGTAATGTAAGAAAAAGAAACATTTCGTACAATTCCTCATAAGTTAAATTAGTGTAACACAAACGAGTAAACAAGTAAAAGGACGGACAGGTATAAAGTTATTGAATCTGACACAAATACGTATTGATCCAAATTGTTGAATTTTATAACATCACAATAAAAGAAAAAAATCATTGGATCGAACATTAACATTCATTTTGTTTAAATGTCAATGATTCGACTAAGAAAGGTGCTACAAACAGTAAGGTCACATGAATAGCTTATTAATACTGACCTAATTCGGTGTTGATACTCTACAAAATCAAGGTTATTTTGATAGAATGACATTCTGTAAATAAATGTACAGTGGGTATGTGTGTTAGAAAGTGCTGACGATAACTCTTCAGCTCAGTGGTCTAGAGGTTAAGCGTTCGCGCGTATGACTGATGGATCTTTGGGTTGAAATCTCACGAGGCGGGATCGTGGATGAGCACTGCTGGGAGATCCCAAAACAGGACGAAACGGCCGTCCAGTTCTTCTGTTTCGTCTTAATATTAAACAAATCAACA